TAATTTCAGGCATTTCTTGAAGAAATTGCATTTTCTGTCCAGTAGCACATTTTCTTTTCAGTTTGAACAGAGAGGAAAAATCTGCATAACTGAAGGAATCAATCTTTATTTCCTACAGCAGTTCCATCATGGAACTGAGAGATATACAGAGTTGTTAGATGCTACTCTGGGTCAAGCAGTCAACCTTGTAGACTATCTATATTAATACTGAAATAATGGATCAGTGCCTATATGCATAAAAGGCAATTAGCACTTCAGCTCATTCCCCATGTAATAAAATGCTACAATATATTTTACATGTCAAGCTTTTGGGAGTGAGTGGAAGCCCAATGTCACAATCTGCTATCCAATATCATAGTACAGAAGTCCTGATAATCTGTATTTATCTTCAGCAAGTCCTTGCAAAGAAGAATAATGGTATTCATGGTGCACATTACATGGATTGCAAAACGATCAACAGAAAACTGAACTATAACATATTTGCAAAAAAGGTATTACCACATCTTCAGTCTGCAGCTCAAAAATAAAAAGTGCAGCGAGTACTGTTAGTGTGAGCTTGGGGCTCAAGGCCTGTACCCTGTTCCAAGATCCCTCATTACCCACAGTAAGCTTTGGTTTACAGTCCCTTGTAAGACCGTTGGCTCACCGGGCTGGGAAGCTCAAGCAGAAAGCAGGGACTGGCATTTTGCCCGTTACAGGCAGCCTGGGCACAACCAGTTCAAGCCACACAGCATGGTGAATTTGTGTCCCAGCATGGTGAATTTGTGTCCCAGCATGATTACTGGTAAAAAAAGATTCTGTAGCTAAGCCAGAACGGTATGCGGCACTCAGCATAGTCTAACTTTTAGGCACCCAGTTCTGGAAGTGGAATTCACAAACCCAAAGCGGATACTTAAGAGCACTGCATGCAGAAAGCTTAGATCCTGAGAATGGAATTTGGAATGAACAGAGGAACGCAGGCATGTTTCTCAAGTCTCATCTGTTATTTACCATCCAAAATCTTTTCTAACGTGGATTCTGTATTATTCCTTTATGTTTCTTGCATGACTGATTAATGCTTTTCTTCTGAAATACAGCCCCTGGAGGAGACAGTGATGGTGCTATCAATGGAAAATGGGTTTGGTCCTGGTTTTAGGGTAGTCTCCTGAGAAGTGTATCCTTGTCAAAAAGGGTTCAAATCTGCATCTCAAAACCAGACATTTCCCTGTGCCTTCCCATCCTGGCCTTTCAGTTATACATTATCATGCTTGCTGTGCCTAGTGCTAAATACAGTGCTGTCAGTGTGGGGTAGATATGCTCTGAGCACGTGGGCTGCATCAGGCACATCAAGATTAAACATAAGATGAGAAGTGAGCCCAGTCATAAAAGCCGCACTTTTGTATATATGCAGTTGCAGGGTGTTATATATGCATGTATAATTTTACCAGTGAAAATTTCAGCAGTTA